GAAGGGACAACTTTCCCTATTAGATGACAAGTTTGCTGTTTTTTTATTTTTCAGTAGTCTTTTTATTATTTTAAAAAAGACTATTTTTTAGAGCAATTTTAGGTTCAAAGCAAAATTGAGTGGAAAGTACAGAGATTTCCCACAAACCTCCTGCCCCCCTCACATGTATAGCTTCCCCCACTGTCAACATCTCCCACCAGGGTGGTGCTTGTTACAGCTGGTGAGCCTACACCGACACATCATTATCATCCAGAGTCCATAGCAACGTTAGGATTCACTTTTGGTGTTGTACATTCTATGGGTTTGGACAAATGTATAATAATACGTGTCTACCATTATAGTACCACACAGAGTATTTCATTGCTCTAAAAATCCTCTGTGAAATGACCTAGTAGAAAGAACTAGTTATAATGGATGATGAATTAGAGCAATAGTCAGAGTCCTGGTCCCAGTTTGTCGCTATACTGGGCTTTGGATAACTTGGATCAAATAATCTAGTTCCTTCTAGTTTAAAAATTCTCCAATTCTATCTTTGCCTAGACTATGTTAAGTCTTTCTGCTGGACCATAACTAGTATTGCGGCCGTTTGATTGCAGCAACTAAAATGAGAATTCATACCTCTTTTCATTATTTCTTCAAAGACTCATTAAGCATCTACTCAGTACCAGATCACTATGCTAAGCACTGGAGAAACAATGATTAAAAAGGTCACACTTTGCTCATGCAAGGAACTTCCTGTTTAAAGAGAAAGGCAGTTAGGTTAAGAAGTGGTTATATGACAGGGTGGTGAGTGCTTATGATTGGGAGTGTCAGGGAAGGCTCCCCAGAGGAGATATACCTGAGAGGAGGGAGGTACAGGAATTAGACAAATGAGGAAAGGGTACTTTAGACAAAGGATATAGGATGGACAAAGCCCTAGAAGTAAAAGTCACCTCATGCAGGGGTGGGGAACCCGTGGCCTTACGGTCCCATGTGGACTTCTAAGTACTTAAGTGCGGCCTTTTGACTAAATCCAAATTTTACAGAACAAATTCTTTTATTAAAAGGGATGTGGCAGAGAAAGATGAAATTTTTCTTGTCTCCTTTGGTGCTTAAAAAAGAATAATCTTGAAATCAGAAGGCTGCAGGTAAGGACGCGGAAGTGGAGTTGATGAGTCTAACTCAAGCTTTGGACAAGTCGAGTTTGGGGTGCTGGTGGAAATTCAAATATGTCTATCTAGTAGGCAGCCGTACACATCAGCTGAGAGATCTGGTGCAGAGATAGAGAATGGAGTCATTAGCACGCAGAGGTTCCTGAAGCCCCAGAAGCAGATGAGATCACTGAGGAGGAGTGGGTGGAGTAGCATATTTACTGTAGTTCATGGAGGAAAGGTCTCCAGATGGGCTTTGAGGAATCCATTTAGTGGGCACACGTTAAAAAAAATTCCCCATATTTACTTTGAATATTGCCTTATTATAAAACAACTTTTAAACGTCTAATTCTG